GTTTGGGGGGGCCACTGGGTGTGGTAGGTGGGGGAGCCAGTGGGAGCATGGGGCCTGCATCAGTGTCCCGGGACCAGTGCCGGCAGGGCCCAAAGGAGGGTGGCAGGAGTGCGGGGTCCTAGCCAGCAGGCACTCTATGGAGCCGGGCCAGCTCCCCCCTCTCCCTGCTGGTGCAGCCCAGCCCGGCTCCACAGACCACTGCCAGCCTGCGCACTGCTTTGGGCCCCACCAGTGCTGGCCCTGGGACATTGGTCCCAAGATGGTGACCAGGGCACCTGTCAAGGGGCGAGGCTACCCATGCGGCCCTCGACAGCCTGCCAGAACTGGGTAAGTGGCCCTCCGCCCATAATAATTGCCCGCCCCTGGGCTAGGGCGAACACCCATCCCTAACTGGGCGGGACAGTCCCAGAATGGGATTATCAAGTCCCAGTCCTGGGCTGCATGACTCTGGGACACTTTGTCCTGGATTCACAGCATTGTGCATGGATCTGGGTTTCCCTCTGCAGGCTGGCAGCATTCCAGCCTGGAAAGGACTGCGTGGGGCTGCCAGGAGCAAGACGCAGGGTCGCCATATGCACGTGCACACCCAAACACACGCACAAGGATGGGAAAGAGCCAGACAGTATGGAGAGTACTTGCCTGCAGGTAAGTTTATGGGGTTGGGGGGGGAGGGAGAGGCAAAAATCAAGGCCCCCATAGTGAAGAAGGGAGTGGGACAGAGGCTTGGGGCGCTCCCCAGCCAGAGTGGTGCATGGGGCCTCAGGGCTGGGGCGAGGGGCAAGACCAAGCCATGGACAGCTTGTCCAGGGGTGCGTGGGAGGGAGACTCCCCACATATCCACAATTCAAAAAGGATGTGGAAAAGCTTGAGAGAGTGCAGAAGAGAGCCAAACACATGACCAAAGGTCAGGAAAGCAGACCTTATGAAGAGAGGCTGTGAGCTATGGGGCTCTTCAGCCTGGAAGAGCAGAGGCCCAGGGGTGAGCTGGTGGCCACCTATAAGTTTATCAGGGGTGCTCACCAGGATCTGGGGGAACGTCTATTCACCAGAGCACCCCAAGGGATGGCAAGATCGAATGGTCACGAACTCCTCCATGACCATTTCAGGCTGGACATAACAAAGAACTTCTTTACTGTCCGAGCCCCCACAGTTTGGAATAGACTGCCGCCGGAGGTGGTTCAACCACCTACTTTGAATGCGTTCAAGAGCCATTTGGATGCTTATCTTGCTGGGATCCTATGATCCCTGCTGAATTCCTGCCCCTGGGGCAGGGGGTTGGACTTGATGATCTTCTGAGGTCCCTTCCAGCCCTAATGTCTACGAAATCTATATCCCCAGGGAGGGGGCATACTGAGTGCACATGCCCCCCACATTTGTGTGGGGTCGGGGTGGATGAGGGCCGTCTGCTGTGGGCCTGGGGCTCCCTGCTCTGCTGTCCTCTTCCCTGGAGCCCTGCACCAACAGCAACATGCCCCATGCCCGCACGGCAGCTGCCAGGGCGGTGGGAGCATGGAGTTGTGCCTCCCATGGCTGCCAGGCAGGCAGGGAGGCACACAGGCGGTGTGCAGCTCCTGGGGGAATGGCAGCAAGATGGGAAGCCCTGAGCCTGCAACCTGCATCCGCCCCTGCCCCACTCAGCTCTGGCCATGTCGCTGTGGGGGTGGGGCACAGCATGTGTCCTGCCTTTGCATTTTAAAGAGGTGTTCATCCTACCTGTCACAGTTCAAGGCTTAATGCCAGCATCAAAAACATTTTCTGGCAGTGGGGCCAGAATGACCCAGCTCAGTTCCAGAGAGTTTCTAGGACCCAACCACTGCCATCTCTGGATCCAGCCCATGGATCACAGGTTGCCACCCCTGACATAGTGCATTTCACAGATCTTTTAAACAGATCCCTTTGCCCGTCCCATTTTTACACTTAATTTAGTGCCAGATATCTTCCTATACATCATTACAATCCTTTTTGATGGAAACAAAATTGCTTTGGGCACTTTTCTACATCTTAATCATGAATTTAAGACCTTTAAGTGCATATATCCTGGTTGCAGGTAAATAGTAGGGCCGAACAATAGTTTCTTGTTCATACTTAACCATATACATTACCACTGTGTCTATGCTGCATATGGAAGCAAGTTATAGAGAGGCAAATTACACACATGCAAGCACGCACACAAACTTTATGAAGTATTTCTGTATAATACCATGCACTTTACAGTATACTTTGACCATTCACTGGCTTGCAGCAAAAAGCTGAAGAAACCGTTACATTTCAAGCAGTCCAGGATTTTGCACTGTTGACTTCAGACATTTTTAAGAACAAAATTAAACGAAAGAAGACATGTATGGCAGGGGAGGGAAAGGTAGATTAACAAGTAAAGCTATTTTCTTTAGGCTCTATAAACATGGCCTAAAAGGAAAAGTTTATTAGTAATTCATGTATTTTCCCCTCTGAAAGACATTAAACAGCTTGAGATTTGATAAAAGTATTAAATGACAGGAATCAAGGGTGTAAATTTCAGCAACTGAGAGTAGGGATTTTTATGCACACAGTTATAAAAATATTTCATTACAATTTCAATATCTACTTAGGACATTTAAGAAAGAAGCTCTCAATTTCTCTAACAGTGCAATTATGGACTAAGAGTTATCCACCTGTATCAGAAATACATGCTCCCAGTGAAGTCTCCAACAAAAAAGAAAAACACATTTTATATTAAAGACCAAAGGGAACTTTTCATTCCCCCTACATAAAGTTTTAGGCCCTCTTTTTACCTTATAACAAGCAAAGCATATTTCCTTCAGCTTCATAAGGTTTTTTATATTAAAGGAATTGATCAGTGTGTAAAATTTTCAAAAAGAGATTGATATCAAAAGTTGCACTCTCAGTGACGTGTAACAAGTATTCTTACTTTGGGCCAGCAGACATAACTGGGCAGCTTTCTTCTGTACAGAAATCTGTAATGGTTCCATAAAGCATGTTGATCTGATTGAAGAAGTCCACAGCTGTAAAGTATTTAAACAATTAATTAGCAGTTTGGCAGCAATTTAATAACACTGCAAGCTTCATGCATTTTCAGTTATGAAATACAGGATGCTGAGCAGGGTTATGCAACGAGACATCCTATCCTCATTGTTATCAAGACAATGTGGGGCACAAACAAAACATCCACCATGTGTTGAGTTTCTTGCACACTCCCAGCTATTCTAAGTCACTGACATTTCAAATATAGCAGAAAAAAGTCACAACTCCAGGAAAGTTCTTATTTATTCATCCAACTCTTTAATGGAGATATTTACATTTTCAAAGCCACACTCATTCTGTTGAAGATAGATGTTTAAAATCAGCAGCTAAAGCTTTTCAGTTTAAACTCCAAAGTGTAATGAACTGTTTAGCTATTAGTTGACCCTGAAGTCCCTAAATAACTTATATAAAAATGATCATGCTTTCCAAAAATAAATGCCATACAAAGAACTCCAAGGCATTACATGTGAAAATTATATTAAAATACTATGCCATATAATTAGCTTTGTTTTTCTGGTTTCTATCAAGAACTTCCAGTTAGACCATAAAGTATGTTCCCCTAAAACAAACCAGGCTCTTTGGTTTATTTATTTATTTATTTATTTATTTATTTATTGTTTTTCCAGTGGTGTCCTGTGACATGCTCTGGGAGAAATAAGATATTCAATTTATCCTAGATGTGACTTTTAAATAGAAGTCACAAGTTAGGCTTCTAAGAAGGTAACAAAATGTTCAGAGTTGCTAAGCTCTAAGCAGTTCTTACTGCAGGCAGTAACTTATGAAGCCAATGGGCACTAAATCCACACTGCCTTTTAAAAATCAGGAATCTGTGTTTGGTATCCTAACTCCAAGCTAATCAATTTCTTCCTTTACCTATGGAAAAAAAATGTATACAAATCAGCTTCCTTTTTCTTTGAACTGACTGATCTTGATTGCCCTGGATACTCCCCAGGGTGCTCCAACATCACTCAAAGGAATATTGAGGAGTACTAGGACACGCAGGCCAAATTAAAGATAAAGCTTTAATGACAAAATACATGTTAGAGAGCAGATCTTAAACTAGTGGCAACTGAATTCTTCCAGCAGTGATAACCGTTCCTGGGATAAAAAGAACATTTTCTGCTACTGGGTGAGCCCAGCCCAAAATGGTACAAATCCATAAGAGCAGAAGCTTTTTTAAATCTGTGGAAATGTATTATTCGTGAAACCTGCTAAGATAATTCCATTTGAGTATGAAGCCCTCTTAACAGTAACAGTGCTAGCATAGCCAGCATTAGCAGTTCAAGCCTTTCCACAAACAGGCCTTGGCCCTCAGCTGAGGGAATCATACATACAGTGACAGTGAGTTTAATCTCAACATTCAGCTTGTGCCATGGCACTTGTATTGTGGAGACCAGCCAGGGTGCCAGTAGTGCCACCTGTTATGACAGGTTCTGATAGAAACCATCTTTCAAAAGTAATCTTCAATGTCTTGCTGCAGTTTCCTGAACCTAGAATTGCTCTGCAGTGCTGAACAGAAGTTTCTAGCTCTCCTGGCTGCCCAGCGAGCCTTGACAAATGAACAGATGCACAGTTTGCCTCGTTTCAGTCTGTTTGCAGATTCAACAACAGTGATGAGAGATTTATGACCTTCCACTGTCTATTTTAATTGGGTGATGTCTCTGATTCAATGCCATTGTCATTAACCATTTCCCTATGGAAATGGAACCCATATATTCAACTATTGCCCTCATTCACTGAGGGGGGACAGGCAAATGAGGCCCTTTAGTGCCATGTGGTATCTGAATGAAAATTCAAATAAGAACCAGGCTTCTTCACTCTGGATGTGCAAGTGGCTGAATATTCTCCTAACTAATCTCTGAAGCATTCAGATAGCCATGTTTGTACTATCAGCCCTAGTTATAAAGGCAACATTTTTAGAGTTGTCAGTTATAAAATGCTACATTCCTACAAGTCCTATCAGCAGGATACTGCTAAGCTCACATATAATATTAAGTTCCCAGGTCCAGCATCATGACACAAATGATACAAAACTGAGGCTGAGACAAGGCAGTGCAAAGCCCTCCACAGCTCAACAGCAAACATCAACAGTCTTCACTTATTCTAAAGGTTGTTCCTTTTGAGCAGCTGTGCAATAGAAACAGTGTTGGCATACCCAGAATCTAAGGATTGATAAAATATTGCCTCGTAGAGTGATGGAAGTTTGGGAGGAGGGGGTTGATAAAAGAGGAAGGAGAGATCCCTTAGGCTCCATAAACGACACGGCAACTTAATGACCTACAAACTCTTGCTCCTATTTTTCAGCAGATGCTGTACTTTGGCTGCAAACTGCCGCTGTATAACTAACAAGCACCAAAAAAGGAAGCAACTCGAAAATAAATAAATAAATAAATAAATAAAAACCCTGATGGATCACATGTTTAGGTGCATATTATGTTTCACAATAGGCAGGCTCCCTTTGGAAACACAACAATAACAATTGGTGAGACATGCTGAGGAAAAGCAGTCACAGAAAGGGAAGACTTGCTGGGAAAACAAAGCATCTTTTAATATCAAAAAGCTTGTGCAGCTCTTGTAGCTTACAGCCATTTTTGAGCTTTCTAGTTTTGAGAGCCCTGAAGTTTTCCAACCCCACTCCCAAAAAGCCACAAACAGCAATGCCTGTTTAAAAGCAGATGCATCTGAAACCACATGGGCTTTGTGAAGATAACTGTCATTGCTTGGGCCTACATTCTGAGTATCAAGAGGCCATGAAACAAATTCCCAACCTCCAAAACTACCAATGTGTGACAAGTAAACAAAATGTTATTCCATTTCTTCTTTGGCACTGTCACTTCCCCTTTTTGGTGCTTGTTTTTAAAAAACAAGCAATTTCTCCAGTTGAAGATGTGCACTGCCTGCCAAATAAAGGAAGAGGGTGGACAAATGTAACAATTATACTGGTATCAAATGACACTGGCATAAGCCATTATGATGTAGGTCTTATATATGCATGTTCAAATACAGTAAAACATGTTGTTACATTAACTCCCTTTCATTCAGGGTTAAAGATACAATACAGCGATTTGTTTCACTTGTACAGTAGAACCTGGATACTTCAAAGTGTTAAATTCCTAATCTCCCTGCAAAACATCTGGGGGAACACAGGGCCACAACAGACAACTGAGCAGGACTGCTGAGCTGCTTCAGATGTTTGCTGTGGCTTTTAATTTCAAAGGGTACTGCTTCTCTTACCAGCAACGTGGGACCACTCTAGCTGAGTGGAAAAACAGCACCCTACAAAAGAAAAGCTGCAAATTAAGCAGCTTGTCCTTAATTCAGCAACCTGCTGTGAGCCAAGCAGGATGCCAGCCACTCAGATACAAATGATCCAGGACCTACTACACCACTACAAGAACATGATATTTTTTATTGGATGAAATATATAGCTGGGAGAGATGACACACAAACTTTAAGGCACCAAAAAGTACAGCCAAAAGACACAGAAGCAAGGTTCTTGGGTTCTATTCCCAGATGTATAACTGTGACTTTTGACAACACATTTGCATAATATCTGTACCAGTTTGCTATCTTTATTACCTATGAAAATGCAAACACCACGTTCCCATGAGAGCTTTCACAACTGCTGTATACATAGGACTTCCCCAATCCTTTACGAGTGTTTTATGAAAACACGTATTTTGTGGGATCGTCAACAAATTTGGAAGGTGAAAGCCATATAAAAATAGCAATTGACCCGTGCAACTAAGACCAAATATATCAAGATGCAGAAAGGAGGCTAGATATCTGTATAGATAACAAGAACATCCACAATGTCATTAGAAGAGCTTCAGTGCATTAGACAAAAAGCCCAGACACTTATAAATAAAAAAGAAAAATCCTCTGGTAAAAGCTTATTCCACACTTCTCTAATTTGGGCAGTCCCCATTTTCCTCTAGCTTATTGTAAAATGCAACATCAGGCAGGATGTACCAGTAGTCACAGTTGGCACGGCAGTTCCTGGCTTCCTCATCTTCCTTTGTTTGGGTCTCTCAAGCTAAGACGAACTCACTCCCTACTCTGCATTCAGAACAAGGAGAATTTACAGTACTATTATGATAGGCAAAAACAGCAATAAAAAAAAAAAAAAAAATCAGACTTCCAATGTAGGAGACCGATTCAGTCATCAACCACTGGCAGCCTGTTGTGTGAAAGCTCTGGGGACCAAGAGGGGTGGCACAAAGAAGACAGTTGATACATTTGGGTGTCTCTGTTTTGCCCAGACTGGCTCAGAAGAGACAAACAGGAGAAACAGAAAGGAGGAAGTTAGAATAATCAAATCAAAAAGTTACCAAAGCATAGGCTAACAGCTCAGCATGGGGAACAAGAGAGTAATATTGGAAATGCTGTAAAGAAACACCTGCACATTTCTTAGGGGAAGACAGAAAGCTTTTCCACATATCTGTTTGCAATTTTAACATCTGTTTTAGACTTGGCCCTAACTACTCATCCAAACAAAGATTTAAACTCACCACAGAAATACACCCCCGGGAAATTATACAATTATGCACCCATGCAATTTTGCGCATAACATATATGACCATGCAAAATTGCATAATTTTGCATAATTTAACCTGGGTGGGCTCTGTGCCATGTGGAGGCACTGAGCACAGTGGCACACAACTAGACAGCTGGTAAGTGGGAAGAGGAGCTCCTGCCTGCAGGGGGTGGTCTGTGGCTGCACGTGGGGTGGGCATGGGCCTCCCACCACATGCACCCCTTCCTTTCCCCCCCTCCCCTTCCCCAAGGTGCACAGCCCCTGCTGCCAATGGTGGCAACAGCAGCAGCAGGCCTTTGGGGTGCTCATGGCTGTGGCATGCAGAGCCCCCCGATGGCCCACAGCTCCGGCCGAGTCCTGGATGGCCCACTAGTGCATGCCTTCAACCCAAACCAGGCTGGCTCTGTGCACATGAGGCTCATGGCACAGCAGGTAGGAGCCGTATGCCATTGGGCCGGGCTGGCCAGCTCTGTGCCTCCACATGGGTCTCCTAGCATTCCAGCAGGAAGCCACATGTGGAGGCACGGAGACAGCCTGGCCTGATGGCACATAATTTCGTGCCTCCATGTGTGGCTTCCCGCTGGAATGCTGGAAGCCCCACATAGAGGCATTAAGCCCACCCGGCCCGATGGCACGCAGCTCCTGCCTGCAGTGCCACAAACCACATATGCTGGCTCAAAGCCAGCTTGGTCTGACCTGATCTGCCGTCCCTGGGGCTCGGTGAGTAATTTTGAATTTTTCTTTGCATAATCCCCTGGGGTATAATAGAAAGATATAACCATGCTGTTGAGTAAAACAGGTTTAGCTGGAATCTAAGGGTACCTATACATGAGCAGGGGGAATTCCAGCTCATTGGAGCAGACTCAATTTATCAAGTCTGCTGGAACGTGGCAATTGCTGCGCTCCAGCCACCTCCCACATCTCGTGCATCAACCTTCCTGCACTTCAAAATGGCAGCGAGAGCACTTTATCTAAAACTTGTCAAATGAGCTTTAGATAAAAGTGCCCCCGCTGCCATTTTAAAGTGCAGGGATGCTGATACACAAGATGCTCAGGGTGCTTTAATTAGAGCAGCTCTCAGAGCCACTCTAATTAAAGCACCACTCCCAGAGCATGTGTACAAACACCCCAAAGGACTGAAGTCACACTAAGGTGGCACCTTACCGGCTATTTGCTAAATACAGCACTGGCATTTCCCCTTCAGAGCTCACATAGTTTATGAACAAATACTTTGGTTTTAACCACAAAAAGCAGTGATTTGTTTGGGAAAAACTTCTATTTTCAACATACATAGCAGGGAGTTATTTATTTTGAGACATTTAGTTGCTGTGAATTCTCTAAATTATACCATCTTTTGCTCTTTTAATTGCAGTACAACACATGGTTGTGCATGAAGAAAAACCCAACATGCAGGTGTCCTTGTTCATGACTAGGCCACATTTGCTGTCCAACTCCCACAGGAAAAGATCAAGTGACTTACTGTTAACTGCAACCCATTCATTTAAGTCTTCCCCCTCTGGCAGCATGACGGCCATCCGGAGATTACCACTTCCAAGCGTGGCTTCTGCATGTTTTAGTAGCTCATACTGGTGAGACCCCTCTGGAATGTTTTTCTTTGGTTTAAATGTTTTAGAAGAGCGACTACCACTGTGAAATAGAGGGAGAAAAAGTTTTAGAGAACTTAACAGAAACTGAAGGAAGGCTAGAGAACTCATAAATTAGCATAGCACTAAGTGATTAACACTTCTCTTCCCACCAAATTTTTATTTAGATTAAGAAGGATGTTTACAAAAATCAGAGATATAAATTACAGACATCTTGACTTGTTGGTTTCTATTAAACAATTAGTTGAAACTCAAAATGCATTCTCCTCTCACAGTATTATACTACCAGCTGGACAGCAGGGAATATAATACATACTCCCACTCACTGCACAGTAAACTGGGTCAATCAACAGGAAAAAAAAAAAGTGATTTACTGGAATCAGGAGGACTACATTTCAGAGACAGGAGAGTGGCACAATAAAATTATCTCCCACCTCCCCAAGTAACCTATGAGACAGGTTAGGTTGTAGCTGACGAGACAAAGAAGAAAAGATAAACCCATCACTTTTAAACTGCTGTCTTTCAAGAGGGATGAAATTGTACTACTTTGGCAAAAATAAATCTGAATGTAGGCAGCCAGCAGTGCTTTCCACTCAGTTTTTTTGATAGTGTAAAAGGTTACTATTAATTCCCTAAAAGTAAGCAGCTGCTTTTTCATAAAGATATAGTCCTCTGGGTCCTCAGACAATTAAAACAATGTACTGGTCATATTAGCACATTGTCAGCCCATTTCAATCTCAATCTTACTTAAAAAGATGCATCTCACACAGGTTTAGCTGGAATCTAAATGTACGGCAACTCCAAATGTACGTTAGAAATGACCAGTTTGGGTTAATATTGTTTTCAATATATACATAAGCATAGTGATGTTGGTGAAGTGTTATAGTTATGGTAGACCTGATCCTTCCATTCCAAATCCCTATTTTCAAGGGCTTCTTCTGTGATTTCCCTCTGGATTTTGTATCTTCTTTGAGCCTACAAGTTACATTTGATGAAAATATTCATAAGAGTTGTTTGAAAGGAATTATAGGTAGAAAATTTTGGGCACTTTTTTCCTGTTTCTACTTTACACTAAATTCAAGGTCAAATTAAATAGACATTTCTGTTCGGATAATTAAAAATAGTTTTTAAACATGCTGAACTGGGTATGTATATGCTGCTGAATAAACAGGACCTTATGAAAAAAACTTGAAGCAAACTAAGAAAATGTGCTTAAGTTTTAATAGTAAAAAGATAACATTACATTTCCAAATTATCTAAAACATGTATTGGATGTAAGGCTTCAGGTATCTGCAGAAGTAGGTTTCATTGAATGAGCCAGTATATGGAGCCTAAAATGAGTGAGTCAACTGCTAATAGATCTGTTGAAATTGGAAGATCAAAATGTAAGTGAGCGCTGGGGAGAGGGAGTTGTTAAATGAAGTAGTCAAGGAATTTTAAGAGACAAAAAGGCCACCTCCTCTTGACATCACGTGTCATTTTTGCAGTGTTTCATTTTAAAAAGATTTCTAATGGTATAAAACAGTCATGTATGGATGCAGGTATGCATGTTCCAGGAGACACAACAATGGAATTGCACTATGAACATGGGGATGAACTTGGACACTCTGGCTATTTGTAGATGTGCTCACCATTTTCTAAACCAGGAGTTCTTTGAAAGGTCTCAGGGGGTACGCAGGGGCGGGCAGGGACAGAGTGCCACTGCCTCACAGGAACAGGGCCAGGGCAGGGCAAGAGCAGCGGTGCCCTTCCACAGTCCGCACAGGTGCCGTGCTGCCGCTGCTCGCCACCCCCTTGCCCCCAGCTCATTGTCTGGCTGCTCGCCACCCCTCCCCCCTGCCACTGTCCAGCCATGCACCACCCCTGCCGGGGTACACTTATTAAAAAGGGAGTTGCCAGGGGTACACTTAGTAAAAAAAGTTGAAAACCCTTGTTCTAGACCATATTAACCAACTTGCATCACACACTCCAAATCAAATTTCAAGGGTTAATAAATAAGCATTGACCATCAGCCCCTTAACTGACCCAATTTGCAGCCTGTGTATGGGTTGATGTGCACTTGTGGTTGGAAGCAATCAGGAGGCAACAATAAGCTTGTTTAAGCACTGCTACATTGTTGCGGATCTACTGTTCCAGAAGCCATAATGGGTGCAATTGACTCCAGTGTTAATGACCATCTCAGCCAATGTGTAGTCCGGGGTAGAGAGGGGGAGGGCCCAAGGGGGCTAGTTCCCTTCTTCACAGACCAGAACCTGTATGCTTGGGTGGGACTGGGAGCAGTCAGGATACTGATACTTAGTCACTGTAAGGTGTTGTTGGCACATTTGACTTTATGAAGGTGTTATCTTTGTGCCTCATAGCCTTTATTATGTTGCAAAAACCAACTGAGTTTCCCTTTCCAGGACTGATATTTGTAATGCTCATCTGGCAGTTCCTAAGGACTGTTTTTCCTAAAAGCAACACCATATATACATGTTAATTAATACAGTTTAAATTACCTAGTTCAGAGGGCCCTAGTCTGCACTGACTTTAATCCTCATTCAATTGGGATTAGTTAATTCAGACAGAAGTCAATTTTAATTTGGACTACAGATGTCCATGTGTATATAGTGACGGCTGTAGTCCAAATTAAACCTAGAAAAACATAGTATCCATCAACAGCCTGTTTGACTATATTGTAAAGAAGTGTTTCTATTGACTTGATTTTTCCCATCACAGCCCTCTACAACCCAAAGCAGAAGAGAAACACACACACACAGCACACCTGAGATTACACACTTGTTAAAACTAGGATTTTTAAAAATAAGATGAGAAGATTTTGTACATCAAGAGTGCAACAAAGAGAATTATATTTCTAAAATGTTTCACAAGAGAAAACTTAATGTTATGTACCAAGCCTATGATAAAACTGCCTATTGAGTCATCAAGTCTCAACTAAAACTAAACAAGGGCTGGAGACAAAGAAAATTACTAAAATTGGAAATTACTCATCAGTTTCTTAAATTCTGTTGAATGTAAAACAATACCTTCAAGGAAAGGGGGGCAACCCCTTGGATATCTGAACATTAACTTAATACCATGTCTTGAGCTTCTAAGCCGCAAAAGGGTGGTGATCTCCAATTCCTTTCTTTTTTTTGTAAAGCTACAGCTTTCTTCCTTAAAATAGCAAGTGTCAACCTTTTATAAAGGACCATAAACATTTCTCATCATCCCCAACTTTGGCCAGTAGAGGCAACTTAGGAAAAAAAAAATAGAGGGGTGTGTAGGGTGTCCTTTTCTTTACTGTTTTATGATGTATGAACAAGTCGTAAAGCAAATTTTATTTTCTTTCCTTTAGTTGTATTTTCTTCTAATAATCATTCAGATTTCTCCACATTGCCTATTCAAGTTCTAAGTTTGACGTATCTGTTAAACATTTCCCTTTCTTCTTGTGGTTACACTTGGTGGAATACTGTTTTAAATTAATTTCCCTA